ATTTATTTCTTATTTGGAAAACAGCTTCTTCATAATAACATCACACTGTAAAACCTGAACTTTATTTGCATCAGTTAAAATTTACGAGATTTTACTTATAGTACTTCAAAATTACTCAGGACATATTCAAACTTGCACATGTATATACACTTAGAACTCATATTGCTGCAGATCCAAAAATATGTATACACTGTGACTGGAACTGGGTATATGTACATGTCAATGTATAATTGGTTGTAAAAAAGCAGAATTAATCGCTTTTGTTTATTATTAAAATGCATCCTGGAATGTAAGTTTAGGACTATGAAGCATTATTTGTGAGTTGCCATCATTGAGCATTGGTAGGTCCTGGTAATCAAATATTTCTTGTTGTGGACAATGATTATTAAAACCTGAAGCGACAACACTGGTAACTCTTTCATTTCAGGACCTAAATCACAAAAACAGTAATGCTTTATCTTTAGGATGATAAATAAAGACCGTTTTCCACTACTAAGACCATCCTGCTATGGTAAGCATTTCAAATTTAGGAAAAAAGGAAAATAGGAAGAAACTGACTAAAATGGGCCACTTAAAATTTGAAAGTATTACGATTATTTTGTTTTTCTTCAGTGAAAACAGATGTGAAGGTAAAGTCTCAAGGCTGCCTCTTGTCAAAGCGATACTAGGGTAGGCTTGAATGTCTTTCAATACGTGTAACTCTACCCAAATGCTGTTAAAATACCTGTCTCTTGGCACCTTGAATTAGGAGCCAGGTTTTTAAAAGCAAAACATTCAGTCAAAGCTGTTGATTCCCAAGCTGGTTTTTACATCCCTTATCCCAGCTGTTCCCAGTCTTCCTTGTGCACGTCCACACTGGAACAGTCTTATCAACTGCGCACCATCACTAACAGAGACGTGGCCTTGTCATCCTTCCCATGCCCCCTACTTCTTCTGCCCTCCCTTCTCTCTCAGGACCTTTCTGTGTATGTATTGTATTCTGTGTATGTATAGGAAGCCATGTTTTCATTTCCACTCCATAGCTTGCTTCTTTCATTCAGCTTTGCTGACGTGTCCTGAAGGAGAAGGACAAGTCTGGGAGCTTGCTGGGTTCCTATGCAAGTGGAATGACTGTTGTTTGATGTTGCTGCAAACATTAATGGAAGACTGCTATTTTCACTTGTCTGTATTTACCCTGGTGGCATGTATGAGTGCTTCAAAGGGGTAGAAATTGGGCGTCACATTGCTATTTCATTCTAGCAGGGGAACTTTGACCCTAAATCACACTTCAGTACCAGAAAGTCTTTTCAGTCTCTCCTGTCCTGGTCTACTTCTCCCTCACTGCATTGCCATATGATAAAGAATTAGTGCTAAGTAGTTTTTTAAATGAATTTTCCATAGTTGTTTGTAGATCATTTCCTGAGTCCCACTACTGTGAAGGGACCAACTTGGCAGAGCAAGAAATAGCAGGCTGCTTTATCTGCTGTGCAAAAGCACTTTCTGCAGATATTCTACCTGAAAAACCATTGGTGTTGCCAAGCATTTTCCCTCAGCAGCCAGTGCAGCACCTGACAAGTGAAACTGTCATGCCACGATGCAAATGCTCATTTACAAGAAGGGCTGAGTGTGCAGGACTCCCAGAGACAAGTCACGTGCCTGGTGTCAGTTTGGATTTGGAGAAAATCACAGTTGGACAGAGTGAAAAGTATGAATATTTCTATTTTTCACAAGGATTTAAAAGAAGACTTGTGCTTGGTTCCTGTCTACAGTACAAATTAATTCAGGGAGGACCAGATGCTCTAGTGGTATAAATCTGCCAATAAGGTGGCTAATTTGTGTTGGCTAGTTTATCTGGCCTGTAGCATTTAATGTGTAGATTGCAAATAACAAAGTAAAGGCTGATTAATCACTCAATTTAAAATGTCACCAAGTTAAAAGATAGAGAAATGCAAGTGTAAGCATGCAATTAGGACTGCAGCCCCAGGCCCCACCAGCTTTTCCCACCTTCTTATATATTCTTCAGTGTGATCCGGAGTGTAATAAATGATCACGACCGAAGGTGAGACTAAGAGGCATCTTTTAATAATATCACCTATGACCTTTAAGTCAGGCTATGTCTCTTCAGAAGCTTTCAGTGCTGAGGAGCATGTTGAAATTATTGGCCATTTTCAAGATGTCCAAACTGCATCCCTGTAAAGTTTTCCTCAGGCTATAGAATTTTCCATTAATTTTACTTTCAAAATATTGACTCTTGTGGAAGAGTCATCTCCGGGGCTGGTCGTTTTGCAGCGTTCCTGTGTATTTGTGCTTGCGGGCTTCGTGTCAGCAAAGTCCTTAAGCCAAAGCTTAACTTTTGTTTTGGGACTATTTATATGTTAAAGGCAATGGTTATTTGTACTTTGCTGAACTGGGGCCATTGTTCTTGCTCTCCTCCCTAAAGCTATGCCTCTGTTTGAGTCAGCAGCCCATTTGGCTCCTATCCTTGCTTGACCCCATAACAATTCTTCATCAGTAGTCAAGCATCAAAAAAATATAGTGCATACACGTAACAAAACTTCTTTTAATGTTTAATATTTTTATTTAAACATAAAAAAACAAAGGGAGTAACAAAAGCGTACAACCAGTGCGATGTGTGACCCTGTCTTTGTGTCCCACATCAGGCTGCTTCGATGGCGGCGGCTGCAATTCTCAGTGAGCTCTCAGGTGTTCGACAGATTTCTGATGCCATTTTACTCTTTGTGCGCTTCATATTTGCCCTAACTCGAGTCAGCACTGCACTGTGCCCTCCCCGTGCCCTGGTTTCAGCCCAGCCGGTGCCCATCGCACACTGACGTGTGGCTGTGGGGAGCGCGGGGCGGTTGCTGAGGGCCGGGCAGGGCCGTTTAGTGAGGCACAGCTGCCGCCATGATGGCGGGAAGGGGGGCGGCTGCAGGACGGGCGGCTTGCCGCCCACAGGTCGGCCGTACACCTGCCCTGTTCCTTTCAAAAGCAATGCTTTTCCTCTGGATGCGCTGCTGCGTGTAGGAAAGGCAGCCCTAAAGCCCTGCTGCTGCTACATAGCTCCTGGCATTCTCCTGGCTCTGCAAGAGCCCGTGGGGTTAAGTCCTAAAGCTGCTGCGCGAGGAAAAAAAAAACCCAACTGTGTAGAACTTGGTTGATTGCTTCAGGCTTTTTGCAGCTGTTGCAGATAAGGTGAGGAACTGAACTAAGTAAAAACAAACGAAAAAACAACTGTTTAGGACGATGGATGTGTTGCTGCAGACATCCAGACAAAATTTCCTCAGTTTAATCAGTAAGCTTTTAAAAACTATTGCAAAACCTCCTATTTGTTGCCCACGTGAAGCATCCTGTATACGAAAATGAGAAACGTGTACTGGGCTGAGAAAAGCTTGCAGTTTTGTAATGTGCCAGCTTGCTGCTTTATCTTTCCACTGGAGCTCTAAACCCCTAAGAAATAAATTTCTTCAACTTAGCAAGATTCTTATATCCAACCCTGGGTTTGGTTTTTTTTTTTCTCTATTTCCGTAGAGCCTGGGGAAAAAGTAGATAACTTTTGCTAAGTTGAAGAGCAGGAGCTTGTTGGCTTCCAAGCTCATAGGATGTAGATGCTTGTTCACAGAGAGGTCTTTGTGACCAGCTAACATCTGTGGAGCACAGCAGGCCCTAAGCTCTGGCTGAAGGGCTGCAGTCCTCAAATATTTCCTTGGCAGACCTATGAAGTAAATTTCTTATATACTGTGTGCAGCCGTGTTTTGTTTCATGTTGTTGTGGTTGTTTTCTTTAACGGTTGGTTGCAGAGCAGAATGCTGCTGTGAACACGTTTTGTTGACATTGTTGTGGGGAAAAAAATACTCATTTTTTTGTAAATGAGTTATTTCAGTTATTATAAGTTATTTCAATGCAGACTGAGTAAGTTCGTGGATGACACTACGTGGGGTGTGGCTGTTGACTCTGTTGAGGTCCCTGATGCTGGAGCTTAGGGTGTGCTGGGACATCTCTCTCAGACACTGGGGTTGGGGCTGCTGTGTGGGGCTGCTCAGTGATCCTTGTGGATCCCTTCCAACTTCAGATCATAGAATCACAGAACAGCCCGGGTTGCAAAGGATCACATTGCTCATCCACTTCCAACCCCCTGCTGTGTGCAGGTCGCCAACCAGCAGCCCAGGCTGCCCAGAGCCACATCCAGCCTGGCCTTGAATGCCTGCAGGGATGGGGCATCCACAGCCTCCTTGGGCAACCTGTTCCAGTGCCTCACCACCCTCTGGGTGAAAAACTTCCTCCTCATATCCAACCTAAACCTCCCCTGTCTTAGTTTAAAACCATTCCCCCTTGTCCTGTCTATGAAAGTTGATGAGGAATACAAAGAACAGGCTAATGGAGCTGTGGCCTACAAATGATTTTTGTAAACATAGAAGCTTCCATTCTATCCTGCATACTTGTGATTAAATCAGTAAAAGATCTTGTACAACTGGACAAAAATACCAGATCATGAGAGAAATTGGTCTTTTGCTTCTAAAGAGCTTTTTAAAGTGGTTTTAAAGCTTGTATGAGGGAGAAGGACTTGTAAAGTGATGGCATTAATATTTGATGAAATGGAGAGAAGGGCTTGGAGTAGCGCATTTAGCTTTGCATCTCACCTGCATAAAAAGCTTTAGCAGCAAAAAATGCAGGCAGTATGGAAAGCCATATTGCTTTTGTTGTTGTTGTCTTTTCCATTTTCTTTGTAGTTTAATTTGCTTTATAATTGCTGTTCTTCTCCAGTGTCATGCTGACAGCTGAAGTGTCAGCTTTCTGGAGCACTGCTTGTGTGCTCATGCAGTTTCAGTGGCGTTCTTGTTGTTGCTGTTACAAAATCGTCCTGTTTCTTCAATTTTTCAGTCTCTGCAGACGTTGTCAAAATCCTTGGTTGTTTCTTTTGATAGCTCCTTCTATCTTCACGTAACAATTTTGTCCAAATGGCTTGTTCTCATTCTTTGTAAATTTTCAATTATTTCCTTTCTGTTTTCCTGCTTTACAGACAGTTTAGAAGAATGTGTGGGGAAGATTCGAAGAAAAAGAAAACCCTTCGTTTTTTGAAAAGAGGTAGTTATCTCATCATCTTCTGATGTGGAACATGAGTTCTTTGATCTTTTTCTGTATTTGGAACCGTTGAGCCTCCGGAGGTACAGCGACAGCTTTTGGGGCATCATTGTAGTTTTTTATGATCATTCCTGTATTCTTTTCCATTATAATTAACTTCTGACATGAGCCTTTCTTCAAAAAACCTGTTTGAGAAGAGGGAACCTTTTAGCCTAACGCTACCTCTTTGTTTAGGTCAGAAGGTCTTTCGGTGACTCTGTCTTTTGTTACCATCTTTGCAAACAGTGTTATTTCCTCCACGTTAACCTGTTTTAATGTCGCCTTGAGACAAGCATTTCCTCTGTGGCAATTTGTTTTCCTCAGGAAGGATCAGAGATCACCGACTGAGATGAGGCTTTAGTTGTGATCTGCAAATAATCAATGTTTATGCTTGTTGGTATTTTTGGTTTATATCTGAAATCAGAATCTCAAAAAAAAAGTGGAGGGAAAAACAAATGGAGAAAAGATTGTGTGATTTGGGAAATGTCAGTGTGTTTTCAGGACTTCTGCATCACAGCTGTCTTTTATTCCTGCACACAGATAACTAGGTGGTGCGTGAGTTGGAAATAAGTCCTTTTCGTGGTGCAAATGACTATAATAATAATGAGAGCTTGAAGAATTGTTCTGTGGAAACTGAAACTATCCAAGCATCAAAACACCTGTTGTTCCCATCCAGTTTAACAGGAGAGAAGTTAATTAACTATTGAAAAAATAAGCCATGGCACATTTCTGCCCATAACCTTCTCTGTTTCTCATCATTTTTACTTTGAGCAACAAGGGAAGAGTGCCGGACAATGCCAAGGTAATGCCACTCTGATTGTAGTGTAGAAAGTTGGCATGCTGCTGTAGGAGGGACTAGCTACCTATCTACAATTGTCTGGTATCAGATCTGACCCGTTATTTTCCGTTTTTTTAAGCTGAGTAGCATTTGGCAGCACAGCGTGGATAAAAGAAATGGCCAGTTGTGGGAAGCAAGCAGTTCCAGGAGGCACGGCTGATGCCCTCAGTGCTCTAACCTGACAAGGTTGTTTGGCTGGGTGTGAAATCAGCCCCTCAGACTGCCTGAGTGTATTGATTCTGGCACCTGCCACCATAAGCAGGTGCTCAGGTTTGTGTGTCCAGATGAAGCAATCTCCTAACATCTTAATTACGTTCCAGACTTTGACTTTGGCTGTTGTTAGTAGCAGTGGGTGTTGTTAGGAAAAGCACTGAGGAATTTACGTATGCAAAAACATTGCAAGAAAATTAAGAATGTAACAACAAGAAGAAGCCCAATGTGTTTGTTCTAAGCCTATATATATATATATTAGAAATTTTTAACCTGTGGTAACAATAACATTTGCATAGTATTTTCTGCTTTACTGAGTGGAGCCAGAATTGCTCCAATGTAGCAAGCACACCAGCCAGTGAGAGCATCCTTCAGCACAGGGCATTTCATATGCAAAAGAGTTTCACTTAACTCTATTCTGTTTTGATGGTGCAATACAATAAAGCAAAGGGTATCAGTGAGGAGTGCCAAGGGCTTCCCAGTCCAAACTGGAACTCCGTTAGGGTACTCTGGCTGCATGCATTTCATTCTGTGTGAGATAAATCAAGAGTAGCATTGCAAATCCTTCTGAGTAATTTGCTATCTTCATTTGGGGTAAGATTTACAGGCCAAGTCTTGCTGCTTCAGTAATGCCTGCCTGGCATCCCACACTTTGCAGGACTTGTAGCAATTGTCACTCTGCCATTAGGAAGGCTGTTGCAGTATCTTTCCAGCAAGAACTTGACAAAACTGTTAAATCATAGGGCTTTGGTGATGAGTGAGAGCAGCATCTCGTGTTGAATTATTAGTTATCCAGATAGGAGGGGATGGGCTGTGGTTGTTTAGGCTTCCGAGAGCTCTCTGCTGAAAAGGTTGTGATGATGATACGCAGAACTCAGAATAGTTTATTCTGTGAGCCTGTGGTTTGTCTGTGCTTCGGCTGATATTTCCTGTTCAGGGGGAAGCTTTCCTTCCTGTTCTTGGAGCCCACTGAAAATGCTGGAAATCAGCAGTGGCAGGGAGGCAGAGCCAAGGCAGAAGGGACAAAGAGTTCAGCTGGTGCCACTTGGGCACCTCAAGAGCTAAGACTGGTGCTGCTTCCCGAGGTTCTCCTGCTGGGATCTGTTCACTTGAGCTGCTGCTTTCACTTTGCTGTGGCTTCATCCTGCTGAAGCTCACTTCCTACCACTTGAACTCAAATCAGGGCAGAGGAGCTGCTCCAGTGTTTCTCTGTGGGTTTGCAAGTACATTCTATTACTCTGTGGTTGGCAGCCCTGCCCATGGCAGGCAGGTTGGAAATATACAGTCTTTAAGGTTTCCTCCAACCTAAGCCATTCGATGATTCTAGTTTCTTTGCTCGGTCTCTTTTTAAGAGTAAATGGTGTTTTAGTTCCAGTAGTGTTGGAGATTAAATGTATGTGTTGTGCTGGTCCCTTTTCACTCCCTCAGCGTAATTTGTTTACTATCCTGTTACATGTTACCAAATGATGGGGAAAAATAGCGGAAGTACCCACTTGCTTTCATATTTCCTCCTTGTTCCAACATTATGCTGTTCAAAACCCCCTGTATTCACCTTCACATAGAATTGCACCTTCAAGGATAATTTTACAGTCCAGTTGGTCTCCAGGAAACCTAAATTTTTCATTTCTTTATTATTAAAGCTATGCTTGTAACTGAAACTGAATTCTCATCCCTTTTCAAATTAACCCTTTGGTGCAGAATGTCAAGGACTTTCTAACTCTATCAAATGGAAGTTAGTGAAGCCAGCAACCTATTGACACCAAGGGGTTAACCCATTAGCCACGATTTAATGTCCCCAGCTTTAATCTACAGACTCACAAATAGTGCTGTGACTTCCTAACCCCACTGCAAACATGTCCCAGAACTCATATTATTAGGTCTTCTGTTTGGCATGGACTTGGGAGAAAACCAAACAGAGTCACTGTAAGAGCTGTAAGTGAAAACAAATAAAGGGCCTGGAAGTGGAAAGCAGATGTAATTAAAAAAGAAAAAAATAAAATATGTCTCATGCTAATGGTCCTTAGGGTAAGAACAACTCTTAATTACAAGAAATGTAAGGGGAAAAATACCCTCAGGATGTGTTTATCCTCAGCTGCTTGCTGCGCTGTTCCCTCCGCCTCCACCTTTCCCTTCTCGGAGCATTGCCGGGGATGGCATCGTGCTGCTTTAAGGGAAAGCTCGCCATTGGGACCATGGCACCAAACAGATTTCTGCAAGGAGACACAAGGATCTTGTGATGCTCAGGGGCTGGGAGAGAGGGGTCAGCGCCAGGGCTGTGCTGGGAAACGGGCACTTGGTGACGGCCCTGTGGGTGAGGTGGGAGGGGAGCAGAGCGCTGCAACCTGCAGGGCTTTTCCCTTTGCATATCTGTCTGTGCTCTCCCTGTGCTGGTGCTGGGGTGCTGTCATGCCCTGACACACAGTGTGTGTGAGCCTGCTGGGACCAGCACAGCTGCTGCTCTCAGCAGGGATGTGTGGATGCTCTGGAAGAGGCCCGAAGGCACCCCGTCTGCTGTCTGCTCCCCACAATGACGGTGTAGACAGATGGTTCTCATGTTTGAGAAACTAAAGCCAGGCTTTCTGCAGGCACGTGGGATATCCCAGACAGCCCCTCTCCTCCACCTCTCAGCTCATGTAGCACCAATAGCCAGGGAGCAAGATCTTTCCAGCTGACTCCACCACCGCATGCTCCTTCCTGCAGTACATGGGTTGGGAGAGGGAAGCTGTGGGCAGGTGGTGGGGAGGACCCAGGTGTATGGGACAAGCACTGTTCCCATGGCACTGCATGGGTACAAACAGCGCTTGCAGCATCTTTGAGCACACAGGAGATAGTTTAAAAAGCTTTTGCTTGGTGAATGTGGGTAGATGAGCAAGGGAGTGTAAGTAACAGGGTGTGCTTGGGAATGTGGGTTTGCAGAGCCTGGCAACTCTTTGGGCATTTGGGTTTTTGGAGAACTGGGCTCAAGAAGGATTTACATGTGTTGTGCTCTTTCTTGGTGAAGTGCCCCATCCCTGGAGGCATTCAAGGCCAGGCTGGATGTGGCTCTGGGCAGCCTGGGCTGCTGGTTGGCGACCCTGCACATAGCAGGGGGTTGAAACTGGATGAGCATTTCAACCCAGGCCATTTATGATTCTATGATTCTGATCGCAAGCAATTGTACACTCTGTGAGCTGGAGACCAGCACTTCCATTCTGTGTTTATTCAAAATATGCTGTTTCCCTCTTAGCATAACCTGGTTTTACTTCTACAGAAATGTCCTGGCAAGATGCTGCAGCAGACCTCCAGACAGACTGATAGGCAGTCCCCATTGCAGCAGCTTTAGGCCGTGTTTGCTCAAGGAAGGTGCGTGCCCAGTAACACCAATTCTGTAAAAATACTAAATTAGGATATTAGTTATTAAATTCTGCTATGCAAGTTACCATTTATATCATTATAAATCTATCTTTACTGAGTGCCCGCTTTTATGGTGATGATCCTAGTATTTACATAAAAATTGCAGTGCACAAAGTAAATTATGCATTCCAACCTGCAATTTTGGCTGAGGATTTGCACACGGAGAATAAATAATTTCTCATTCTTAAGCAACAGTAATCACAAGTAATGTGCAGAAACATTCATAACCATGGTCTCACATGAAAGATACATTTTTTTTCTGTAACCTGCTGTAATTACAGTGTACATCAATTCCATCATAGGTAGATACACCAGTTTTTTTCCCCTTTTCCTCATGCAATTTTAATGACCATTCCTGCTTAGAATACAACATTTTAAATTAAAAAATTAAAAATTTAGAAGTAGATTGTTTCCCTGACAACAGCAACAGCAACATTTAATTCCCCCCTGTGCCATTTGTAAATAAATACATACAGTTGCTGATACCAGTGAGATAATGTGCCTGAGGCTAATTGAGCCATTA